GTTTCCCTTTTCTTTGTTGAAGAGGGTCTGTGCAATCCTTCTGCCTAGTCCGCCATCTTGCCCCGCCTCCAATGTGTGATTTCTTAACTGCTGCTTCCACGGTCATTGATTATGGATCCAAGCAAAATGAAATCCCTAACAACTTCAATCTTCTCTCCATCTCTCATGAGGCTGCTTACTGGTCCAGTTGTGAGGGTTTCTGTTTTCTTGTGTTGACGTGTGACCCTCCTGAAGGCTGCAGTCTCTGAGCTTCATCAGCGTGTGCCTCAGCTCTCTGTAGTAAGGTCTAAAATGAGAGTAAAATAAGAAAAAAGACTCCTTAACAACTTGTGATGTGGAGATGACTCAGCCTTCCTTGCTGACAGCAAAGAGGACTTGACGCAGTTACGAAAGAAGAAGGACTTAGAACGAGGGATGTCATTGCTGACGTCAGATGGACCTTGGCTGAAAGCTGAGAGTACGTACGAGAAACGTGTTCGCCTGAATTTTACTGAGTGTGCAAAGGCATTCAACTGTGTGCATCATAACAAATTATGGATAACATTGTGAAGAATGGGAATTCCAGAACACTGATTGTGTCCATGAGGAACCCACACACAGACAAGAGGCAGTTATTCAAACAGTACAAGGTACACTGTAGTTTGAAATCAGGAAGGGTATGCAGCAGAGTTGTACCCTCTCCCCACACTTCTTCAATCTGTAGGCTGAGCAAATAATCCGAGAAGCTGGGCTACACGAAGAACACAGCATCGGGATTGGAGGAAGACTCGTTAACAACCTGTGATAAGCAGACGGCACAGACGACCTTGCTGAAAATGAAGATGACTTGAAGCACTTACTGAGGAAGATCAAAGACTACAGCTTTCAGTGTGGATCTTAACACTTCAAAGAAGTCTTTGCACAGATTTGTCCAATACAATTGGTCATTTTCTTATGCAGGCACAAAGCCCAGAAACCATGAAAGGGAGCAGTTACCTCTTTGATTACACACATAATGTATGCACTTAAAAATAAAAGCAGCAAAGTTAGAAATCCAATGACAAACTTGAAAAATTGTTCACCATGTATTTCTGGAAAAGGTTAGTACCTTTAAGTACCTGTTCCCACCATGTCGAGTCCAACTCACACTGACCCTACGGAACACTGTAGAACTGCCCCATTGGGTTTCCAGGTTGTAATCTTTATGGGAGCAGACCACCAGGGCTTCCTCCTGGGAGCCACTGAGTGGCCCTCAGCAGTGTACCATCAAGGCTCCTAATTGGCCCGGACTGTGGCCTAATTAGCATCTGATGTGACCTTCCTTCCCACGGACACTGTGGTGCAGTGGACACATCACAACCTGAATCCAGGTTCTGGACAGTGCGTGACACGGTCATGCCTGCTTCCCGGAAACCACAGCAGATCTATGACCGTGTGAAGCTTACTCAGAAGACCAGATGTAGTTTGATGAGATACACTCATTTTGTATTAAGTATACGGACAACCTTACAGGTCTGTCTGTATCATACAGTGTGAAGCATGCACAAATGACCACAGACATCATGACCCAAATAACAGGTAACACTACACAAAAAAATCATCTTCTGCATTATCATGTATGCAGAAAACTGAGTAAGAGTTTCCCTTGTTGTGAAATAATAAAACATACTAATTCTGAAGATATAAAACAATTTTCTCTTTAATTGACAAGTGTAGTCCTGGAACATTGAAATGCAAACACAGCCATACCTTGCAAGTTAATGCATATGCCACACTGTACTCCTTAACAAGGGAGGTGCACACACATACGCAGACTTATATAGGTCACACTATGCACACACACAAAGAGGCCACACTGTGCTCCTTAGTGGGTGTACACACATACAGACACACACATAAATCTACTGTATTTTTGAGTGATTTTGCCAGTCACATCTATATTGCCGCATCCCAAGCTGATGCCACAGGCGGGCACTTCAACCTTTAACACAGACTATGTTCCTTCTTCACAAGTCTTGGGGGAGGGAGTAACCAAAGCCAAGAACATAGTCATCAGGACAGGCGCCAAGATCAAACTATTACTGAACTGTGGAAACATCTGGAAATGGAAACAGTGGTGGCTGAACACACGATAAACATGATTAACATCACTGACCTGCCCTGTGAAGAATGTGGCGAGTACATCGTGACTGAAGGAGGCCTGGTGGTGCAATGGCCAAGCTCTCGGCTGCTGGCCCACCCAGTGGCTCCGCAGGAGAATGGCCTGGTGGTCTGCTCCCAGGAAGGTGGCAGCCTAGAGACCGTATTGGATAGTTGTACTCTGTCAATTGGGGTCACTTGGAGTAGGAAATTGACTCAATGGGCCACAACAACAGCACAGTATTGAATGCTGAGTACAGAGACAGATGAAGACAGAAAACACATTCAGAAAGGGCTTCATTTCTGTGATAAAAAGGAATAGGACTCCTGGCAGTGTGTGGCATTCTGGCTACTTGGCACGTACTTTCATATTGAAGGCGTTCATCATGAGTCTGCAAATCAAGTCATGCCGAGTCAAATCCTCAGGTCTAACACCCAAGTGTCACCCAGTGACGTCATTTTGTGGGGGTTTATGGTGGCTTTAGGCAAAGTACAAGGAGGAAGCGGCATTGCCCATCACCTCTCCCATTGTGTGTACTGCATGACTGGACGTCTGGGTGTTGCACCCTGGTGACCCCCATCTCAGGGAAAGGCTTCTTTGAAGGTCAGTGGAGCTTGGAGTGCAGCTTGTTCTTGCCACTCCTGACAGACCCAAGAACACTGAATGCTGTCATTCATTTTACAGTAAAAAGCCCCAAGCAAAAAACAAACCTGTTGCCATCAAGCCTATAGTAACTCATAGTGACTACATGGAACTGCCCCACAGGGTCTCCAGGGCTGTCATCTTCATGGAAGCAAAGCCCAAACCACACCTACTCCCATGGAGTCCTTTCCATCCACAGCGCCCCTAGGGGACAGAGTGAAATGCCCCACAGGGTTTCCAATGCTAATCCTCTTTACAGTAGTAGAGCCCAAAGCAAACCCCACCACTGAGTTGATTCCGACCCACAGCGCCCCCAGAGGACAGAGTGGAACTTCCCCACAGGGTTTCCAATGCTGTCAATCTTTACGGAAGCAGACTGCCTCATCTTCCTCCTGAGGAGCAGCTGGTGGGTTTGAATGGTCAACCTCAGCACTTTAACCACTGTGCCACCAGGGTCCCTAAACATAGAATACAGCCCAGCAATTGCACGTTTCGGTATATGCCTCAGAAAGATAGAAACAAACCTTCATGCAAAAACTTGGACACAGAAGTTCATACAGCATTATTTTATTATTTCTATATTATGTTAAGGGGTTGTGGTGGTGCAGTGCATAAGACATTTGAAGGTCTTCGATTCAAACCCACCAGCTGTTCTGTAGGAGGAAGATGAAGCAATCCACTTCTGTAAAGATTTACAGCCTTGGAAACCCAGTGGGGGTCGCTATGAGTCAGAATCTACTTGATGGCAGTGGGCTTGGTGTTTTGGGTTTATATTATGTTCATCTATTACAGTGTAGCCAGTAGGTGGAAACAACCCAAAAGCCCATCAGGGGCTGAGTGAATAAACAAATTGTGATTATCCATACAATGAAATATTATTGGGTAATAAAAAGGAATGAAGCGTTGATGCGTGTTACAACATGGACGAACCTTGAAAACACTGTGCCAAGTGAGAGAAGCCAGTCACAAAAGACGTGTCACCTGTGATCCCATTGTTGAGGAATGTCGCGAATACACAAATCTGTGGACACAGACAGTACATTCTGTTTGCCTCAGGCTTGGAGGGGGGTGGAGTGGAGGGTGACTGACGCCAATGGGGCTGGGATTTTGGAGGGCGATAAAAATGCTCTAAAATTGATGTAGCCATGGCTGCACAACTCTGTGAATATACCCAAAGCCACCGAATTGTACCCTTTAAATGGTGACTTGGATGGCATGTGGATTACAACTGGACACAGCCGTCACCACCACCACCAAAGTGACCTGTGGTCCGCACACCGCAGGTACGCATTGGGGGGTACGTTTTTCAGACCTATGACAAGCGCTCCTTACAACGCCAGTCTTGCTCTGGGTTTCTTGTTAAGGGTGTGAACCTCAGGAGACCTTCGTTGTCTCCTGTCCATTCTCGCCCCTGTGGCGCTGGGCCCGGCTCCTCCTCCCCCTTCATCGGCGTCTAGGTCACACGACACTCTCGGGGTTCACTCAGGTCGGGAGCAGCGGCCCCGAATCTCCTGGCGGACCGCCCGGGTGCCTGCGCGCCGAGCGCACGCTCCCACCCAGGCTGGGGGCGCGCGGGGGACCCTAGGCCCGGTCGGGGGCGACCTCGGAGCTTGC